TCTGTGTGAGCAACAGGACGCTCTTATCGAATTCTTGGCCAGCTGACATGATAAACCAACCAAATTTCGTCAGTTCGCCAATGGGTGCGTTGTCCTCCCCGATGCGTGGTTTTGTTTCTGTTTTTATCCTTGCATACTCTCCGCTCCCGAGGATTACGTGTACTGGCAGTCTTGCTTTCGTGTCGTTGTGGTTAACATAAACACCTCTCAAGTGTGGATATTTGTCAGGAAGCTTGCGATAATTGGGGTTATCAATTGAAAACAGTTCTGACCTGTTTATCTTGGTTGCTTGACAGGAAGTGTAAATTGGTGGTTGACAGATTGGAGGCTCAAATCGTATACTTCAAATGCCGTGACCTTGGTTGACATCAACATATCGATTGATTTTGTTTGGAATGCAGAGGGCTTCACGCAAAGAAGGTCGATCAATTTTGCTGACACGTATGAGCTACCTGCTCCGGAGTCGATTAGCGCTTGGCATTTGATTCCATTGACCTCTACTACGAGAACCGGGAACAACCCTTCTCCGACTTGGTTTGTAGTTAAGGCGACCCCTGTCTTAGGAGTGTGTGGTGACGCTTGTGGCATTGTTGACAGACGGATTTGCTAGGACAGAAGGCCGCGCGATGGTTTCCGGTGGTGCAGTTGAAACACAAACGTTTGTTGAGGAGAATTTGTTTGCGATCAGCGACATGTGTCACTCTTGTACATTCGACGGCTTTGTGATCTTCGCTGCAGTAAACGCAAGGCCAACAGTGGGGTTTACCATCGGCACCCCGACGCATGTGGTAAATTCTTTCTTCCTGGCGTACGTTCCGTTTTGTTGATTGCTGTTCTTGCTCATGCTCATGCTGGTTTATATCCATTGGATTTCTCCTGGTCCACAATCAAACTGCTTCTGAAAGTTTTGCAGTCCCAGCTTTCCCAGTCGGGGTCGATCCGGACGAGATCTCCGTGGATCGCTGTCATCGTCGCTTGTTGGGGATGTGGCTCAACTTGGATTTCTGCCTGCATCTCTATCTTTGCTTTGTGAAACTTAAGTTCTTCTTGCTTGACAATTGCTTCTGCTTCTCTTTTGCGGTCGTCGATCCATGTGCACATTTTATCCACTTCGCAATCCGCTGTTTCCAGTTGTGCGTCGATTCCACTATTCCACGCCTTGATGTCGGCAATTTCTTCTTTCGCACCTAGTCTTGTCGCTTCTACTTCTATCTGCATTCGATTTAGTTCTTTACTGAGGGACCGCAGGGTGGACAAATGTCTTTTGATTGCTTCTGACTTCCCTGTTTCTACGATGGTGTTCGTTTTACCAATGCTCATTTTAAGCTGTGTTACTTTGATATCTAGATTCGCTTCAGTCGCTTCCATCTCCGCAATCTTCGCACGGGCGGAAAATCAGGACTAAAATTATACTCACAACAGTTGTCCTTATCCTTCTCCGTCCCGTCGGAGGTGCCACATTTCGTAAACTTTGCCCCGTTTACTAGGGATAACTGGTCTTCTAACGTACTGGACTCAATCAACTGACTCGATTGAGTTTAACTGTTTAATCGTTCTCGCGTATTCACTCGGTTACAGCAGGCGTGTAAAGAGCTACTCTGGCAACTTGAAACGAGATCCTAATTCTTATACTACATTCTCTACATTGTGATTGATCGTTGCTAAGCACTATGAAAAAGGTTATTCGAGGTTACGTCAATCATGTACAAATTAGAAACTCCACGATAATGTTGTTGACAAAATTAACGTCACGCAAGTAATCACGCAGTCTCCGACACTGGTTCGACATGCTCAAGATTAAACGCGTCGATATCTGTCACCGCTGCATGCAGTGAAAATGAAAAAATACACGTTTAAAAATAAGCTCACCTGTAAAAAGAACTAGTTATAATTTTGCAAAATCTTTTCGATAAACACTGCATTTCTTGATGTTATAACTGGAAATAGAAGCTGGTCAAAAATGGTGCCCAAAGCTACTTTAGTTTCACATGTACATGCTCGAAAAAGAAATGAAGCTCGTCACCGCTGGATTGAGAATAAAAAATATATCTTAAAGCTTACCTGAGTGAGAAAGGGGTAGATTCTCTTCTTCACAAAAAGAACTTGTTGCCATTTTGCTGAATCTTTTCAAAGATTGATATAAACACAACACAATCCAGTTCTCAGTTTCTTCACTCTTCGACCAACCTCGTTCCCGTTCCCAGGATCAAAGACCCTGAGAACGAGGTTACCTCCTAACCAGGCTCCTGCGGACTTGTCAAGGAGAACGAGGGCTCTGGGAACGAGATTAAAATCCATGGCGGACGCGAAGAGACGCTTGCGCTCCAAAGTTTAACAAATATAATGCAATCAGAGGATAATTTTCCGGTAACTAGTTGCTACAGTACAGGAACTCCAGAAGCAAGAGAAACCCATCATCGTGGAAAACCTCATGTGCACTGTCCGTGCGCTAAATGCAATGGACGAGCAGTATGGTGTATGACCGCATGGAGGCATTTGAAACAGTCGCCAACAGAGCTTACATGTACACCGGTTAGAAAAGCACACAGCAATTCATTAGAAGAACCTGAGTGCTCGCCTTTGGAACCACTCATAGAATACTAAGAGCAAGATTTTGATCCCAAACATGTTTTTTGGTTCACAGGAAGCTACAGCGAATTTCCACATTCAAGTGATGTTTGTGCCAGAGCCACGCGCATGGACCATGAATGCGAAGATTCATCATTCTCCGGTAGTTGTGCTGGTGCCTCAGGATCAATTGACAGTGATGGTGATGAAAGAGGACTGAGTAATGATGAAGCAGGTTCGGTTGAAGGTGGCGATGAGGAAGAGAACCTGAAGAAATTTGTACAGGATAGCATTCTTCGCTTAGTTGAAATGAAACAGAAAATGGGCTGCTCCATAAATCATTTTGAAGAACTTCTTCAGTAGGGTAAGGACTTGCATACAAGTGAAAATAATGATGCTGCAATTCATTGGCCTAGAAACTGGGATGGAGTGCAATTATTACTTAAGGAACTAGGCTTTTCTGAGCCAAAACATTATTGGATTTGTCTTAGCAGTGACCATTCTAGTCATTATGGGCTGATGGAATCGAAAGATGAACCTTGTCCACATTGCGGTAATTTAGGGACAATCCCATATTACTACTTAGGCCTGCCAGATAAAGTAAAAAAGTGGTGCTCTTCCCCTCAAATGTGTAAGAAAATGACTGCCCATCGGTCACAACGTGACCATTGGCTTCCTGATGAGATGAAAGAAGGTTGGGGGTGGCCAGTAAAGCATGAAATCTGGGATGGAACAAGGTTTGCCAATCTTGCATCTTTTTGGGATCCAAATGCAGTGTGGATACTTCCAGTCAGGTGCACATATCCTGGATGTAATACTATTATTTGTGCTACTGAAATGGTTGATGCCCCTGAGGCAGGTGGTGGCCTAAAGAAGATAAAGTGTTCTGCATGTGGCACCATATTTCATCATTCTCCGAGGGAAGCTTGTGGGAACCCTCGTAATATTGCCTATTGCGGTAAGTTCTGTTAATCTCTATTTCATCACAGGCACCCCAAGCTCAGTGTGAGAGTCAGTTACATGTGGTACCGTATTCCATAATATGAACATGGCTGCAAATGGATTTGTATGGGAATCCTGGTAGTAGATTCAAGAAGATAATTATTTGCAAAATTTATCAATAAAAAAACCCTTACCTTATTTTATGGTGTTGCTTGCTTCCTGCGTGGTTATTTTCCTGATTTAATGCAAGTTAAGCGATTTCTTTGTTTCCCATGTCTCTCTTTATCATGTTTATGAGTGCAAATACGGGGGAAAAAGGAATTGCTTAAATCGCACTAAATCAGGAAAACAACTACACTATTGACTAAGAGCCATGTTTCTGTAACTGTGGGAATTATAATTCATTTATGAGTATAAATATTGTCTCAAATATTCCAAAATGTTGTTTTAGGTCACTGGGATGGTTGGCAGCCAGTTTCTAGTACTATTCGTGGATGTGGAGCCATAGAGGTCTCAATAGCCACTATGTCAAAAGTACACCGCTGTCACACTGATGAGATCTATGTTGTTGGTTTCGTCCCAAGTTACCTCATTCCAAAGAAGAGGAGTGATGCTTTGGATTCATTTCTTGAACCACTCATCAGGGATTTAGAGGAAGGCTTCATCGATGGAATTCCTGTAAACTATGCAACCACCATTGCTGGCATTCCGTCAGGCCCAACACACATATGTCATCTTCTGCTTTGTTGGAAAGGAGATCACAATGGACAATGTGAAGCTGGAAAATTCATTAAGTGTGGTAAAAAGGGATGCAGGCGGTGTAATCTACAAGGAGTGTTTGTACCAGCTACCAATCATTACTATTATCCTGGTTTCAGATTGCAAGGCAGATTTCCTAATGAAGAGAAGTCTATAGTTAACAGTTTGGAAGTCTTGCAGGATATCGAGGAAGAAGAGCGCATAACTGTTAAGCAGGAAAAATCCAAGAACACTGGGTACACAGGATTGTCAATATTTCATAGACTGTATCCCCTCTACCACTTTCAATATGACAAAGATTTCGTCTATGATGAAATGCATGGTCTTCCTTTCAATGTCGTCAAATGACAGATTCAGTGCCTACTAGAAAGTGGCAATGAAGACCTTAACTGGCAGGTAGTTGATGAGCGACTTAAAAGTTTTCCATGGACTCATGAACATAGGACAGGACGATTGCCCTCTGGTATCACAAAGCGATTTGGTTACTGAAAAGCAGAAGATTTTAATCATTTTGCATTTCCTGCTATGGAAGCCTGCTGAGGTGACATGCTACAGAACGATCCTGAAGCTAAGGAAATTCTCTGTTGCCTTGCCCGTATTATTGAGTTTTTTAGCAACCATGCTAGAAATGGCTGGAGCAAAGCTGATGCTTGTACATTTCACGAAATGTGTGTGAGATATGCTGTACTAGTAGAAGAGAGCCATGGTGTTGAAAGTTGTGTAATCACATTGCATAATCTCCTGCATTTTAAGGATGATATTGCTCGTTTCAGCTCAATGGATAACTACTCATGCTGGACTGAGGAAAGGGCCGTTAGGAGGTACATTCTTGCCTCTAACAACCACAAGAACATTGAAATTACTTTTGCTTTGAGTGAGGCAAGGCGAGAATTTCTAAAACTGAGGGAATCAAAACAACATGTTGAAAATCATCTAAATGTTCATCAAGCTGACATTTCCAAGGTAACTACCATTATTAACATTACTGAATGTTGGCGACTACTGTCATAGATACCACCCTTGCAGATCAATCGTACTTGCACATTTTGGTCAAAAGCCATTTTTAAAATATTTACATTTTCACAGACAAAACACCCCACATGTGCAAGATTTCCTTACATTGTAAAGTGCAACTACTGTTGCCATGGCCATCTAGTCAATGAAAACCAATCACAATAATATTGAGAAGCCAAAAATTGTAAATTTAAAGCTAATTCCACCTTCTTTATTGTACATGCTTGGTTTTCCACATTCTTTTGGGGAAATGTACATGTACTTGTACACAAAATTTAACATTGATGTCAACATTTTTACACACTTTTTTCTTTTCTTTTCTTTTGTTCTTTTTTTTTTGTTTGTTTAGCCTTCAGTACGGTCATTGCCGTTTGCAAAGAGACTTTTAGAGAGTTCCAAGGGCACAGTAAATTATGACCGATTGTCAGTCGGCATTCTTGTTGGTGGTGTTAAAAGTATGGAGCTATCTAATAGTGACTGCCAGACTATTAGCATTGCAAGAGGTGTTCCAGTTGATGATGTTTCAGTTATTGGATGGTGTTCCAGAAGTCTGTGGAAACCAGAACACTCTTTTGAGGGCTTGCGCTACAGAGTTGGTGAACATGTGATTTTTGCTGACCCAGACGGGGGAGACACTGTTGCTGTACTGGAGAGTTTGTTTTCTGTCAGAATTGACAATGGGTCTGTTCTCTTCTGCAAAGGGAAACATTTTAAATATCATGGAGAAGCAGACACTGGCCACAAGCAAGTCTGCCCAACAGATAACACAGTCATATTTGAAGCTTCACTTCTCAGCAGAAAGGTAATGCTGTTTGCAAGGAATGACAGTGAGCAGGAGGACGATTTGGGGGATGGTCAGTGCTTTATTCTTGTGGACTACATGCGCCGGGTGTTTCCTGTTAATGAAGGGACAGTTGCTGTTCCTTACTATCCTGTAGTCCATGACATGGTAGAAGTCAAAGGAAATGACAGGCAAGTCTGGAAAGCTTATGTACAGTCATTCAACCTAACCCGTTCAACTGTTAATGCTAAATTTTTTGTAGAGGATGGTACACAACCTGGTAAATGGGTACCTGAAAGAAGCCCAGTGCAGGTCATTCACTTCAACAGTATCCTTGGAATTTCAAAAGGTTACTGGCAAGCAGCATATTCTTGTTGGATTGATGAAGAGGAGTAATAATCAGTTCCAATGTTTTTATCATGATGATAGTATTCAGAGATGTTGCCTTGATCAAGTGTAAAACAACACCTTTCAAGGAAAGGAGTGCTGAAATTATGAATACTACCTAGAAATGTAACTATGAATATTTGTAATTGATTTGTTTTGAAAATTAAGGAGAAATTGAGCATACAGACAAATCACAACATAATTGTCTTCTTTTTTTATTGAAGTTCTTGTAGTTAAACAAAAATATTTTACCATACACTTGTAATTAAAGAACCTTCATTGTAGGTACGGAAATGTATTTTTCCTTAATTGAATTGGACCAAAAAAATGATGGGAAAAATGATAGTTATGATGGTTTATCACTCAAACAATCCGAGTTTGCTTCTGTGGTTTTTTATTGGATTATCACCTGCTAGAAGTGATATTTCAATAACTTACCATAAAAACCAACTTGGAGTTGTTTTGGTAAATGACTGGTTTATCAGTCAGTAAACAATCCAGACTGATTTAATGGTTTTTTATTGGACTATTACCTATAAAACATAATTTTCCAATAAACTACCATCAAAATACCAACTTGGATTGTTAAACAACTGATATACCAATGATCTTCCAAAAATCTCCTTTCTCCTAAAGAAATTATGAAATATTCCAATATTATTCCAATATTGGATAGTTTAATTCAGATGTTTTCCAATAATAATCCAACTTGGAATCTCTCAATTTTTTCCTGTGATTGACAATCGAGATATTGGTGTTTACGGCAGCCAAAACAATCATGGTTCAAGATATATTATAATGATCACAGGATTCCTGATGATTACTTTAAGCAGCAACTCCGGGTTTGGAGAGCAACTTTCAATGAGCTTTTAAACATGGTAAATCCACATGTTACAGACCAGATACGAAAAGGTAACTGGACATTTTGCACAAAAGACTTTTCAGACAAGTTTTTTAGCACAAGTTTTGGATTGTTTGCACAATTCTTAGAGGTCATTTCGCACAATAATTATAAGTGAGAAACATCAATATAAAAGAATTACAGTCAACTCGCCGACGGTCCAACTCGCCGACGCCAACTCGCCGACGCCAACTCGTCCACGCCAACTCGTCCACGCCAACTAGTCAACGCCAACTCGCCGACGCCAACTCGCTTACATATAAAATCGAGTAGAGACGTCGGCGAGCTGGTCCTCAATCCAATACAACTTATAAGAAGTTAAACATACAGAAAAGTAAACGATATTTAGTAAAAAAAACGCTGGTGAACATTGGCGAACATCAAACAGAAGCTTAAACATTGGTGAACATTGGTTAACATCACCAATGACTGTAACAGCTTAGGACGCAAACGAGATACAGCACACCGTAAAGACTCATCATGTCAATCGCTCAGATTTTTTAAAGAAAACTTGGCTTTCTAGACAAGATCTTTAGTAAAAAGCAATTATTTTTATTTGCAACAAAGTTTATAAGGATCTCAAGGCGAATCAAGGGAAGTAAACATCAGCAATGACTCTAACAGCTTCAGACGCGAACGAGTTATTGTGTGACAACAACACTGTAAAGACTCATCATGACAATCGATCAGATTTTTTTAGAAAACTTGGCTCTCTAGATAAGATCTTTAGTAAAAAGCAATTCCTCTTTATTTGCAACAAAGTTTATAAGGATCTCAAGGCGAATAAAGTAAAGTAAACATCGCCAATGACTATATCCGCTTCAAACGCGAACGAGATCATTATTGTGTAACAACAACACCGTAAAGACTCATCATGTCAATCGCTCAGATTTTTTCAAGAAAACTTTGCTTTCTAGACGAGATCTTAAGTAAAAAGCAATTCTTTTTATTTGCAACAAAGTTTATAAGGATCTCATGTCAATCGGTCTTATTTATTTAAGTCAAGTCGCTTGGTAAAAAGTCAACGCACAAACGGTGTTGTTGTCACACAATAGGGACTTTAAGATCCAACAACGCGGACGTCGTCAAATATACCGAAGCCGCGTGGGGCCTGTGTTGAGGACGCCGTGTTCGTGGCGGGAAATTTTAAGTTAAGATGGCGGGATTCAACGACGCGGCTACCTGCGGATAGAATAAAAAGAGTAGTGAAATTACTTTATTTCTGAACAACAGAAACCGATTATAGTATTGTTTTCAGTGCAAATGGCGACTTTTAAAGAAACTCGCGAAATTTTGCTGGCCAGCTATGCCTCTAATATCATTACGATTGAAGAATATGCTTTGCTTTTAGAAGAAAACAGTTCAAACAACTTGGATTTTCCGTACTATAACTACCCGCCGTTTAACTTAGAGAGCCAAAGTGAAGCCGAGTGTAGGGCAAACTTCAGGGTGGAAAAGCACCATATTCCTCTGGTAGAAGATGCTCTTCAAATTCTGCAATACTTCGTATGCGACCAGGGAACTGTTTGTGAAGGAACAAAAGGGCTTTGCATTCTTCTGAAGCGATATTCCTTTCCTTGTCGATACTCAGACATGATACCTATTTTCGGAAGGCCAGTATCAGAACTTTGCATGATATGCAACACCGTAACAGACTGGATTTATGCACATCATAGCCACAGAATCACACAATGGAACCGAACCATTTTAAATCCACTAGAGCTGGAAAAGTACGCGGAAGCTGTTTTTAAGCAAGGGGCGCCACTAAGCAATTGCTTTGGTTTCGTAGACGGAACTGTGCGGCCAATTACTCGACCCGGGGAAAACCAGCGATTGTTATACAACGGCCACAAACGCGTACATGGATTGAAATTTCAGTCCGTGGTCCTACCAAATGGGTTGATTTCACACTTGTATGGTCCAGTAGGTAAGGCGTGATACTAGCAAATTACTATGCTTATAATCAGAACAAAGTTTAAAACAATTGTGGAAAAAGTGAGTACGAATTTCATTGGCTTTTCCATTGACTACCCTCACCCTCACCCCCAATCGGCCCATTTTCTCCTTGCTTCTCTCTGTCAGCAATAAACAAGTAAACTGCCTGTGCATAAATATTGCTTTTTATCTATATACTTAAGTTCTAATCTTGTCTAAACAGAAGGAAGGAAGCATGACGCAGCAATGTTGGCAGAGTCAGGCCTTTACAACAGTCTCCGGACACATGCTGTCTCAACAACCGGCCAACCGATGTGTATCTATGGGGATCCAGCTTACCCACTTTGGATACATCTTCAGGCACCTTTCCGGCAGCAAGTACTGACTCCCCAACAGCAAGCTTACAATGGTTCCATGAGTGCAGTCCGCTCCTCTGTTGAATGGCTTTTTTCTGATATTGTAAATTATTTCAAATTTCTTGATTTCAAAAAGAATCTCAAGATTGGGCCTAGCCAAGTAGGCAAAATGTACATCGTCTGTGCAGTCCTTCAAAATGTTTTGACATGTTTGTACAGTAATTCAACATCCCAGTTTTTTTACTTAGACCCACCTTCCCTAGAGGATTACTTTTCCTAACCATGCAGTCTGTTGTGGCCACCCGACATAAGACTCAAAAAACTGTTTTAGATTATATGGGAAGATACCAAGAAGAG